TTAATGGAATTTGTGAACCTTATTGTAAAGTGTATTTCAACATTAACTGATGTGTTACTAGCATTTGTAGACCCTTTATTAACACGACTTACTATTAACAAAGCATATATTAATGGAATTTGTGAACCTTATTGTAAAGTGTAATCTATTTTAACATTAACTGATGTGTTACTGGCATTTGTAGGTTCATTACAAAGCAGGCATTATTGATTTTACTGAACCTTAAATGAGTGAAAGCCATTCATCAGAGGGAAAAATGGCATTGTGTACCTTATCAGTATTATTTAATAATAAGGCATTGATTTTGGGCTGTAAACATAATTCTGAAGTGGAAACCATCTGAACATTAACAGATATGTTGTTCGTGTTTATATGCACTTTACTATCATTACTTGCATTCAACAAAGCATGTATTAATGGAATTTGTGAACCTTATTGTAAAGTGTACTCTATTTCAACATTAACTGATGTGTTACTAGCATTTGTAGACCCTTTATTAACATGACTTACTATTAACAAAGCATTTATTAATGGAATTTGTGAACCTTATTGTAAAGTGTACTCTATTTAACATTAACTGATGTGTTACTGGCATTTGTAGACCCTTTATTAACATGACTTACTGTTAACAAAGCATATATTAATGGAATTTGTATATTTTGTTTGCAATGTTCTCATCGGCCATAATTGCATCTTGACATTTCTGGGCTATGTTTGATAATTTCTCTCCCTTTGCATTTTTGTCATTGATTTCCTCATATTTCTCCGGTGCTGCAATCACCAGTTCAGCAATAGCTGCCCTCTGCACAATTGTGTTCACCGGACCACACCATACTTTCTGAATGCATCTGCCATGTTGCTTCCTCTTTTGAAAATCTCCAGAACTGATTTGTACCGCTTTACCACCTGCCATGGTTCAGTAACTAAAATAGACAATAAAAAATATTTTAAAATATTAAAAAAAGAAATTTCTGCAGTTGTTAGCTTTCTAGTGATCACATTAAGAAGCCATTCATGTGTCAAGGAGTATTTAATGGTAAACTACACAACACATATACCAAGTTTCACATTCCTGATATAAAAACAATATTAATGGAATTTGTGAACCTTATTGTAAAGTGTATTTCAACATTAACTGATGTGTTACTGGCATTTGTAGGTTCATTACAAAGCAGTCATTATTGATTTTACTGAACCTTAAATGAGTGAAAGCCATTCATCACTTACATTTTCAGAACCTTTATTACCTTACATAACTGGTCAACATTGGCAATCTTTGCCAGCACAAAAAAATACAAAACAAAGCAACATTTTTAAGAACAAAAACTTGTTTTTGAAAGTTTTCATCGTTTGTATTTTGTTTGCAATGTTCTCATCGGCCATAATTGCATCTTGACATTTCTGGGCTATGTTTGATAATTTCTCTCCCTTTGCATTTTTGTCATTGATTTCCTCATATTTCTCCGGTGCTGCAATCACCAGTTCAGCAATAGCTGCACTCTGCACAATTGTGTTCCGGTCCACACCATACTTTCTGAATGCATCTGCCATGTTGCTTCCTCTTTTGAAAATCTCCAGAACTGATTTGTACCGCTTTACCACCTGCCATGGTTCAGTAACTAAAATAGACAATAAAAAATATTTAAAAAGAAAAGAAATTTCTGCAATTGTTAGCTTTCTAGTGATCACATTAAGAAGCCATTCATGTGTCAAGGAGTATTTAATGGTAAACTACACAACACATATACCAAGTTTCACATTCCTGATATAAAAACAATTATTAAATTATTTCAATTTGCACAACCTACCCCTTTGATAGAATTTACTCTTCTGCTTGTTTTTCTTCTGTTTTTTTTTAATCTTTTCTTTACTTTCTTTGCCTCCTTCTTTCTTTTCTTCTTCTCCCTTGAAGAGTCTGAGTTACATGACTCTGAGTCAGAAGTGTCAGAAGAGTCAGAATCAGAGGGGTCACTTTCTGAATCCTCTTGAGAGATTTTCATTTTTTTTTGCTATGTCTGCAGGCTTATCTTTATTTTTGTCAGGCATGTTGTCCATTTTGATGGCTTTAATGGGGGGAGGGAACAGTTAATACTCATATACTGCATGCCTGCATTTGTGACTTTAGTATGCATGTTAACTTCACTCCAAATAACAGAAAAAAGTCTTTATACATTTTAACACTAAAACAACACAAAACGTTCACAACAACTACCTTCTGACAGCTGTTGTCTAAGGAAATCTCGTTCTTTTGTCAAATCTTCTATTTTCTCCTGCAGATATTGACATTTCACCCTCAAGGTGTCAGTCTCTGCCTTGGCTTTAGCCAAAGCCATTGAAACAGTTGGCGCTGCTCCATGTGCTTTATCTAGAAAATAAAAGGATCTTAATATTAATGTAAAGAGTCTGTTTCACTTGCTTTATTTAGAGCAGAAAATCATCCTGAACACATTATGTTACACCGACGAGAGAGAGAGAGAGTTTTTCTTAGTTAAAAATGTAAGTTAAAAGTTGTTTCGTTTTCTCAGTTATTGCTAACATTCAAACCAGGATCAACAATTTCTCAATAATTTCGTGCTAAACGTTCTAACCGTATCTGATAAACATACACTGATAAACGTGCATAATTTACCGGATTTTTCTGTGAGTTCATCCCGAGACTGTTTTTCTTCGGTTTCCCTCTGGTCTGATGGCAAGAGTCTAAAATGTCATCCGTCTGTCCACTCGCCGTCATCAAACTTGCTGTGGCCTCCACAGTCTACCAGTATGCGCTGGATAACCTCTGGCCGCTCTTTTTTTGCAATGTGCTGAAGGATTGTGGGTAGGCCTAGTGTAGTTTTTCTTTTCTTATTCTTTTTCTTTTTTAAATGAAGCTGAAATCACAAAGACTGGTGGCTTCTATACAATAATCGCTTAACAATTTTAAAGTTAATGATACGTTTGTCTTGTAGGATTTAAAATTTTATAGCTAAAAATCTCTCGGGATTTTTATTTCCGGAAAATTGGCATCGACAGTTTCATGTCATTAATATATTTGTTATCCATGTTGAGTATGTCATTTGTTGCATGCGTACTAAATATAAATGTATTTGTTAATATTACTATTATTTGAAATACTTTATTTTTTTTAATGTATTTCTAAGGTGACATGGGTCGGTCATTAAATAAAAAATTGCTGTCAATGATTGAAGGACGTCAAACAAAGAGGAAGAAATTGAAGTTGATTAAATGGCTCCAGAAAAAAAATTGCTTAAAGCAAAAATAAAGTGCAATTTATGCCAACATACAATGAAGCTGACTCATAAACCCAACAAAGCAGACAACTATGTTTGGTAAGTATTATTATTATTATTATTTAAACTAAATTTTTGACCAGAGCTTGCTTGCTTAAATTATCTTTTTAATAATTCATAATGTTATTATTTTTCAATATATTATTATTAATTTTACATGTCTGCTGTGGTATTAGGAAAATTTAAACAAATATGACACATGGTCTTACTCACTAGAATATTTTATTACGTTTAAAGGTCTTGTACACGGAAGAGACATAAGGGAAGATTCAAGTCAGTGAGGTCTGGATCACTTTTTGCCAAGTCAAAGTGTAATTTATTCTCCTGGATGAAGTTCATATATCGGTATGTAAAAAAAACATAAAAAAAAAAGGTTATAGTCTAATTTTGAAAAATACATGTTATAGTCTGTTATGTTTATAATTTTGAAAGTATTTGACCAGAAATGCCAACAGCACATTTTTGTCACTTAATTTAAAAAAGTTTTGCTCAAGGCCTTCAGTTGAGACAAAGCGACATGATTGAAGATGGCATTGCTGGAAGCTCACGCACACTCAGCAGCATGACCAAAAAGGTTCGAGCTATTTGTAAAGATTCTATAAAGCTGTATGCCAGAAGGAAGGGCCTAACAATAGGACACCCCAGGGAGTTCGTTATGATTGATGAAAGCAACTTTCGTCACAAGCGAAAGGTATTTAAAATATTCCCATAATATTTATGTAATTTTTTAGATGAATTACCTTAGTTAACTTTGTGAAGTTGTGTTTTACATTATGTTCTCTGCAGCAAGTTCTTTAGGTAGCACAGTTTTCTAATCCTGGTCCTGGAGTACCCCAAACACTGTACATTTAGCAAAATTTGCCATTTTGCAAAAAATAAAAAGATGCCTCCCTTATTTGATACCCTAAGATTAGGGCATAATGGTTGGACTAACAAACTGATACGTTTAAAGTGTGTTAGATTAAGTGTTAGACTGATGAGTGTTAGAAGGTATAGAAGGATTGCATTTTTGTGAATCCATTTTGAATTACCTAAATGATTTTGAAAGCTTTGTATTTTTGAATATTGTATACTTTTATACTTGTTTTCCAGTATGGACGTGGAAGGTTCGCAAAGACTTGGCGTAGAAGAAAGTGGGTCTTTGGGATGCTGGGGGTTGCACCAGGAAGTAGCAAGCCCATTCTAAAACTTGTTCATCGAAGGTCCCGAAATCACCTTATCCCACTTATTGTACGACATGTGCATCCTGGAAGTTCCATACTTAGTGATGAATGGCGTGCTTACAGAGGGGTACTAACCAATCTTGGCTATAATCACTTTCCTGTGAAGCATAATCAGTGTTTTGTAGATCCAAGAACAGGCAACCATACACAGAATCTGGAAAGAGCATGGTTAACTTTCAAAGGAAAAATATGGCGTCTTAGAGGAAATAGGACAGAGGACCTACTAAAACAACATCTAAAGCTGATAGAGTGGACTTACTGGCTTGCTAACTGGCACAGAAATGGTCCTCTTGGAAGACTGTTGAAGGACATTCATCGAAAATATCACCTTTAAAACACGAAGCTGATAACTTCCAAAGGTGATTACTCACTATTTGTCCAGTCTAACTTGACCATGCTTGCTCACTCCCAGATCCTCCTTATTTTACTCTTTTGAAACACCTCTTCCTTAGTCCCATTCATTGGTAATTATATATATACTTCTTTATTTTGTACATCATTTTGCTTTTATTTTTTCTTTCTTACTTTAAATAAATCAAAAACACTACAGTTGTGTAAATTAATTTCCAATTGTCTTTTTTTTTAATTTGTAATATGTATAAATTGTTATACCACTGTTATGTAATGTAATAAAGGTTATGAAAATGTAAGCTTTCACTGATTTAAGGTTCAGTAAAATTAATAATGCCTGCTTTGTAATGAACCTAAAAGCCAGTAACACATCAGTTAATGTTAAAATAGAGTACACTTTACAATAAGGTTCAAAAATTCAATTAATATATGCTTTGTTAATAGTAAGTCATGTTAATAAAGGGTCTACAAATGCTAGTAACACATCAGTTAATGTTGAAATACACTTTACAATAAGGTTCACAAATTCCATTAATAAATGCTTTGTTAATAGTAAGTCATGTTAATAAAGGGTCTACAAATGCTAGTAACACATCAGTTAATGTTAAATAGATTACACTTTACAATAAGGTTCACAAATTCCATTAATAAATGCTTTGTTAATAGTAAGTCATGTTAATAAAGGGTCTACAAATGCTAGTAACACATCAGTTAATGTTGAAATAGAGTACACTTTACAATAAGGTTCACAAATTCCATTAATACATGCTTTGTTGAATGCAAGTAATGATAGTAAAGTGCATATAAACACGAACAACATATCTGTTAATGTTCAGATGGTTTCCACTTCAGAATTATGTTTACAGCCCAAAATCAATGCCTTATTATTAAATAATACTGATAAGGTACACAATGCCATTTTTCCCTCTAGGGTAAGATGGTGAGTTAGAAATATTCACGCTTAGTGTGTCAACTGCTACGTAAACTAATGTAAATATGTACAGTAAGTTAACCTTAAAACATTAAGGCTATTTACAGGCATTAGTTCATGTTAACTAATGCATTAACTAATGTTAACTAATTGCGCTGTTAAAATGAATAGAATGTATGTGAGTTAACATTAACAAAGATTAACTAATTCTGAACAGAGGTGTTGTTCATGGTTCATGTTAACTAATGGATTAACTAATGTTAACTAACTGCACTGTTAATGTGAATAGATGCACTAATGTATGCGAGTTAACATTAACAAAGATTAACTAATGCTGGACAGAGGTGTTGTTCGTGGCTAGTTCATGTTAACTAATGCTTTAACTAATGTTAACTAATTCTGCTGTTAACGTGAATAGATGTATTAATATATGTGGGAGTTAACGTTAACAAAGATTAACTAATGCTGAACAGAGGTGTTGAT